TCTATTTTTTGCTGTGCTCGTTTTAACGCCTGTCTCTATCATGTCATGTTGATCAACTCTAGCCACGACTGACGAGGCCTACCTGGGCGCCTCGAGAATTCATTGGGCACTCTCGGGTTCCACTCTAATAATCTCTTGGCCACGTTATCATCCGGTGATCTCATTAGATGTCCATACCATCTCAATCTTCTCGCACGGAGTTCATTCAAACATCCTGCTGAACGTGTACGAGCGCAGAGCTCCTTGGAAGACATCGTCGTCATCGGAGGTAACCGAATCACTTTCCTTAAGCATGTATTGTAGAACGTCTTAAACATTTGTGTCTCCTCCTCATTAAGGGCCATAGTCTCCGATCCATAGAAGAGCGAAGCAAAGACGACGGACCTCATCACAACCATCTTACCTCGAATACCGATGTCGTGGGACTTCCAGATGTTGTGGAGCCGATGAAGGTTGGCTCCCACGACTCGAATTCGATCACGTATTGCCTTCACGTATCCAGCTTCACTAGATATTAAGACTCCCAGTTGCCGATACTCCGTAACCACTGCCACTCTGTTATGCTCGCTGTCGTGTTGACAATTGATAAGTAGCCTCCTTGTCTTACATTCCGGTTCACCGATTCCCAAGCTGAGATTTGCTGGGGCAGCCTCCTCTTCTAACGCATCCAGTGCAAGGTCACTCTCTCCTTGAGAGTTTGTTGGGACCGTAATATCATCAGCGAAGCATAGGCACCCGATAGGTTCTTGTAAGCTATACGATCTTTCAGACAATCGAGTGTGTCGATGGTTGTAGTCATGCTCTCTGAGAAGGACGAAACCACGCTTTGTAGTTATTATACTTCGTCTCAATATCATATCCAGTGATGTTATGAAGATAATGGGGCTCCATATATCGCCCTGCTTAACTCCTGATCCCAACTTTACTTCACAGGTCTTCCTATGAACTGTCAATGATGCCACTGCATCCGAATAGCTCTGCTCTATTATTCTCAAATATTTTGGGTGAATACCCGCCGCCTGTAGACATTCCATCATGAACTTCCTATCCAACTTATCGAATGCCTTCTTCCAGTCTGCCATCAGTAGGCAGAGGGGTCGATTATATGCTATGCATGCATCTCTCAGCAATTGCGTAGCATGTATGACTTCAACTGCAGACCGAAATTTTCTGAATCCGCATTGTGAGTGGTGAATCCTTTTATCCAACTGGTCTCTGATCCTTCCCAATATAACCGCTGAGTAAATTTTCGCCGCCGCTACTTGTGCCATCACCGTTCGATAGGACATCACTGTGTCTGCCGCTTTCCGGCCCTTCTTGATGAGTGTCACTTTACTCGTTAGCCATTCAGTTGGCTGCTTTTCTGCCACGAAACATTTCTCACATATCTTATGGATCCATCGCTGCAAAACTGGGCTTTGGTTGAGAAGGTCTCCGCTAATCCCATCGATACCTGGGCCCTTGCCCTTCTTCAACCTAGCTGTAGCCTCGAAGACCTCGTTCGGGGAAGGTGGTGCCGGTGCCGGTTGAGGGTCCTCCTCGGGATCCCGATAGCCAACGGGTCTCCCTGTCTCTCTCGCTGGTACCCTCGGATTGTTGTAATCTGGTGGTGTGTACAGCTCTCTCATGTATGCTGCGAAGTCCTCGGCT